GATATGCAGAAAATATTTAGGTGATATTATATAGTTAGTCTTATAAGTTAAGGTGGTTTTTCGCCTTTTATGTTACGTTTATGTAGTGTCAAAATGGCCTATCGAATATTACAGGTTGAAGGTCGCGTTTTATCTTACCAGTCAAAACCTAATGATAATAAACGGCGAAAAAAACATGTAATGGTTTTATAAATTTTGTTTGTTCATGCAAATTTTTAGAGTGAACTTTTATGAACCTTTAAGGTTTTTTTACTTCTGAAGTGACGACTTCATAATGACGATAGCAAGAGTTTTGTTTTGTACGTTGGTGTTTAGCTTGTTAGTAAAATAAAAGATTTCAGTTGCCCAATTAAGCGATTTCTCTTTTTTTAATATACACTGAGATGGTAAATATATTTTTTTTTAGTTACAGAACCTCGATCCAAGAAGCTAAGGTTCTGACTATTTTTAAAGTTTTACTGGAAAATTGCATTCGAATGATCTCGTGTGACAGTCTTTACATAAACAACAACAAATCCTGCTTCACTGCGGTATAAATCAAAGGTTGTATTGCACAGAAACAGAATGAAGCCTATGGAGAAATTTGCTTTCAAATCCCCACAAAGATTCCATTGTAAAATTAAATCATAGAATGTGTTTGTTATTATGATTTTTTGCAGGACAACAGTGAGTGCCCGGCCTGAATAGACTACTAGAACACACACTGAAAGATAAACGAGGTCATAATACCGTGAATATGAAGAAGAACATGAAAAGTTCTTAATTTGATTGCCAGTAGAATAAATTAAGACTGTGTAACATTGTATTTTTGTCGTCAGAGGCTTAAGTGTGGTGTTGCACAAACTACAGTCAGCCTCAGATGGAAACTATTGGGACTGGCACAAAATGTCTGTATTAATGGACAGGTGTAACTCTTATAGAGAGTAAAAAAAAATCACTGAAGAATAGTAGGGACCAAATCGATTTCCTGGAGCTGCCTTATCTTTTTTATTGTACTACTGTATAATATTTCTAGCATTATATCCTCTATCGTAATATTATATAATGTTGACAAGGAAACAGGAAAGTATTTTTTGAATCAAGTTCCATTAAGCCTGGCTGCAGTTAATAAGTTTAACCAATAATGAAATTGATTCATACTGGACATGAAGTATAGAAGTGTGCTAAGGTTCCTGGTCACACTAAAAAGTTTGTTTTTCAATGGTTTAATAGCTGTTACAGGCCATTTGTATTTCATTTCTGCATATTCTGTATAATTTTCTTGTTTGCAATATACTTTTGAATTTGTATGTTATATTAGTGTTTTATGTGATATCTGTAAGACATATATATATAACAATGTCTGGTTTCAATGTAAGACTAGTGAATATTTAGTTTCTTTTAAGTTCCTTAGTATGTCTTGCATGGGTAGTTTTTAATGACCACTTCATTATACAAAGCTGTTATTACCAAACAAAAATATTTTCTGGGCTACTTACTTGTGTTCTTGCGACCTCTTTGTTAGTTTTTCAAGGGCAGTGGATTATATTTTTGTCACATACTTATTCTTCATTGCACAGTAGTATTAGTGTACAAGATAAAAAATAATGTTGATTTTATTATATTTCAAATTTACTCGGACTTTAGTTTTCACAATCTGTCCAACTGTAGTGCTCAATATTGGAGATAGCTCAATAAGGTGTTTAGAGAGGAATACTGATGTACTCCAACAAATCCAAACTTTAATAGTGAACACAGATCATCTGGTCTTGAAACTGGGCAGCAAAAAATAAATGCCCTGGCAGATGATGAATTACACAACTTGATATTAAACTGAAGTAGGGAACCGATAATATTATTTTAAAAATGATGTCAGTGCTATCATCTGAGTTGTGATGCCATTTTCTTACCAAGTTACGAAATGTTAAAACCGAGGTCACGGAGGTGGAACTATATTCAATACAGATATTTGTTCGCGGGGGAAAAATTGAACAAAACAGAAAACGAACGTGAGAAAAAATATTTTGTTCCTTCGCTATTGCTTGCAGCAAATGAATGCCACGGGATAATAGCTAACTTTCGCTGGATAATCTCTCTGACGGTCCAGTATAATGTCCGCCATCTTGTTTTGTCTCCTTGGTAGTACCCAGACCCTTGCATCACAGCTAGATCGCTCGAACCCGCTCTTTTCAACGCCCTAGCTTATTACACCCTGTTATGATCTGGTGAAAACCAGATTGTCGGAGTCGGAAGCATAAGCACAAGGAAAATTCAATCACAATATAAGTATATCACGCGTATCAAGTGTATCACGCTTCGTGATTATTTTAGTTATTCCGCTTCTGCTTGCGACTTCGACGACCTAGTTTTTACTTGACTGTAAACGAGGGAATCTTAGGCGGGAGATTAGAACGCTGTTTTCACTAGATCGTTAAGTCCTACGCTTCCTATTACGACTCGGCCTCCGTCGCTAGTGAAAACTAGCTTTAAGAGAATGGATGAAAACTCTCCCTCTTTGGGCGAAATCGAAAAGGAAAATATATTCAGATGATAATGAAAATTTTAAAAAATATTTGCGCAACCTCGATCCTAGGGCTTTTTCCCTTAGAAAATGGGATTGATTGGAAAGGAAAAAAGAATCGAGCGGCCGACGCCAGGGCCTTTTTCCACCCCTCTCATTTTCTCAGGGAAAAACCATGGGAACGACGTTCATATTTGCGTCAAGAGTGAACTTTAGCATTGACGACGTAGACGGCAGCGAAATCGTCATTTTTAGAATGAATTCTCGTTTTTTCAAACTGTTTTGTGTTTATTTCAAATGTAGGCGAATTTCCCTGAAGTTGATTTCTTGGGGACCACACTCAAGTTTAGAAAGAGAAAGAAAAATTCGTCGTCGCTTGTTTACGTCCTGAATAAAACGTGAAATTGGGCATTTTCAAGTTGTAGTCGTGCAGGTACCGGAAAGAAATATACAAAAACTAAAGCGTGAGGCACGTACAAAATTGTTGTTTTGTTTGATAAACCTTTTGCTTTTTTGACGTTCTCGTAGCCGTTCCCGTCGTCGTCGCTAAAGCTCCCTAATGCTCGTCTGGGACCGGAATAGTTGACACCGCAAGTACAGTCGAACCCCGCTATTTCGAAGTCCCATGCCAAGGGAAATGGAAAAAAAAATCGAAATAGCGGGGTTTCGAAATAACCGGGGAAGCGTAAAATTCGTAACAATGAATCATTTTTTAATAAAATACAGAACAGTATGAAGAAAGGGACTGATTAAATAAAAATACAATGTCGAATGATCAGAATAGAGACAGCAGAGTTCATACATTAGTATTTCAGCCGGAAGAACAGTTCACTAACAGTGCGTTTTTTTTTTGTAATTGAATAACACAGCTGGAATTTCTTAGCGGGACACTGCACGAGGGTCAAGCATTGTTACACGAGCTCAAATAAAATGCAATACGTTTCCAGCTGTGCTCTTATGTACGTACTCTGTTTTTGACAAGTTCGAAATAACGGGGTTGATTTAAGGTGTACGGAAAGAACGATGAGTTCGAAATAGCGGGAATTCAAAATAGCTGATAGTAAATGACTGAAAACATAAGGGTAAATCCAAGGGAATTAGATCTTTCTTCAAAATAGAGGGGACTTCGAATTAACCGAGTTCGAGATAGCGGGGTTCGACTGTAATGTGTTTTCTTCCTGTTCTAGGTAACCTGGCAATTAAAATACCAGAACGTATTCCATCTCTTTTCGCTGGTGAAAACAAAAGTTTTTACTGCTTCGTTGAAGGACCGCTCCCACTAACAGTCAGGTGGCTGAAGAACAACACGATTATCAAGAAGAGAAAAAGTCAAAGAGACAGACAAGTAAACCTCACTCTTGATTTTCAGGAATTGGACTTACATCACACTGGGAATTATACTTGTGAAGTTAGAGACCGCTATAACCGTACCATGAGACGCACTATCCTCGTCAGCGTTTCATGTAAGCATTTTAGGTTAACAAGGTTGTTTTCGTACCCATCTTCGTTTGCTTTAAAAAGATCGTAACTTGACATCGAATGACCATTTAATTGACAACAACAAAAAGAGAAAAAAAGAGGGATATACAAGAAAAGAAATCTATCAAGTGAAAAATTTCTCGAACAAATGGATCGTCTGAAAGGTAATCCTCTTTTCCTGGAAGGGAATTTTTTGCCAAAAGGAAATCCCAGATTCCAACCGATTTCCATTTCTTTCAAACCTATCCTATAAACATGACTCCCGAACGAAATTCACCAGTCCTTAATGTTGTTTAGCATTTGCCCAAACCGTTTACCGACTAGCTCGCCCATGGTACAAGCTATGCGAATTTTCTAAGTCCTTGAGTAACCTGACGTGTCTCTGTAAAAGCGGTAGACGGTCATTAATCTATCTCATACACACTAATCACGCGACAAAAATCATGTTTGGGCCATATCCGGGTAGATTAATGCTCTTCCATTTGGGGAAAATACAGCCGCCTTGGGAGCGTGGGCGGGGAAGCTTAGTCCAAACCCGAAGGAACAAACGAAAAATAATTCAGGCGTTGTAAGCGAAATGCTCGTTATTGCAACGTGTTATTTGATTGTCAAATAGGTTTGCAGTCATGGCCAATAGCTGCGAAACGCTAACAAATACAACGCTAAACGGCGAGATAGCAATACAAACGTGTGTTCGTAATCCGAGGCGTAATCTTACACGGTGAATAAATTGATATTATCAACACCATTTAACTATAGTTAAATATTACCTAATTTATTTCTTGCACAATAATCAAGAGTGTTTGGGCCATATCCGGGCAGCTTAATGCACTTCCATCTGGGGGAAATACAGCTGCCCAAAGTCCAGCTCAAATGGAAAGTTAATTAGTGATCTGCAGCAGGTTCATTGAACTTGTGGCGTACTGAAACTTCATCGTGTGCGTTTGTGCAATCTTGCGGGCTAAGTCGAGGAACAACTGAAGGGAGAACGAGTGTACCGTTGATAAACGTCACTGTTCCATCAGCCTAGGAGTTTGATCTCATAGTCGGTTAAGCCAGCGAGGGACTGCGGACTTTGCCCCTCCGATTCGAAAACTACGACCACTGTAGTGGGAGGGGTCAATACCGACTTAGCGTAGTAAGTGAGAGATGAAGGAGACGAGGGATATTTTGCTGACGGGGCGTTGGTCGGAAGGGTTAAACAAGAGCGTAGTAGCCTTGTAGAAGATACCACAGTGATGATGCAGAGCGAGGTTCTTTTGCATAGCGCAACCAGCACAGACGGAGCGTCGCGAATGAGCAGTATAAAGGGTAAAATCCTGCCGTCGCTGATCCGTTTAAGATTTTATAAGTCGGAGGGAGAGATACTCCGTGCCAGAAGAGAACAATTTAAACGTGAGTCAGAACAGGTGAGGTGAATAGACGGATCGAAAAGGTTGCGAGAAAGAACTGTAAATTCGCTTGCGCTTAGCATAAGAAAATGACCAGCGGTGCTGGCGACCCATCGCACCGTGTCATCGTCACACGTGAGGATGATAGAAGTCTGAATATCGGAGAGATTGTCGAATGTAAGCGGCATCTTTCACTTCGGTGCCGAAAAATGTTTGCGTTCGATACCACGCAAGGCCTGTTTTAATCGCAATCCAGGTTGAAGTGGATAATACAGACCGTGTGATATATGCAGAGAGCGCACGGCAGCGAGATAAACATTCATTGATTGTGGTTTAATCCTTTGGGCGAGATGAGTAGCAAGTAAGATAATGGTTTCTTGGGATGCTGGCAAGGGAACCAAGGAAAAATCCTGGCTAAAGTGGACAAATCGGCGCTGAGCACTGTTGTACGTAAAATGGGAGGAGTCCGATAGTTCTCCTACGAAGTAGTTAGGCGGGTTCACGTGAAGCTGGCCAAGGGTAGAGGTCTTGCAGGAGTTGGAGAACAGGAAGCCACAGGACAGGCGGCCAGGAACTTGTCGATCTGAAAAGGAGAGAGAGCGTCAGGCTAATTATTATCAAAGCCATCAATGTGGATGGACACAATATTGTGATGAGCGCAGATGTAAAACAGGAAACGGAGAAGGGTAATAATGTGCGTGCATTTTTTAGTACCACTAGACAAAATATGTACTATGGATAAGTTATCCCAATGGAACAGAATATTGCGACAAGCAAGGGATGCTGCCCAAGTGTTGACCGCAGCGGTAATGGCGAAGAGGTCCTTAAAAGTAATTGAACGGGAGAGGGGGGACGTCGTGTCCGCGAAAGACCCGTAGATCCAGTCCCCTGCGTAAGACGCACCGAAGCCAGACTGGCATGCGTCGGTGTGAAGATCCAAGAGTGAGGAAGTTGTCTATTCGTCGTCATAGAAGAAGCTACGACCATTCCAGGATGGAAGGAAAATTTTTCACCACAAGAGGTCCTTGTGGAAGACGTGATTCAATCGAAGGTGATGGGCCGGATGGTGAGCTCTGCAGAGGACATCCAACATGCGGCGTAGGAACGTTCTCCCGGGGCGGCACACAGTGGTAAATAAAGTTAAGCTTGCCAACAAGGGAAACTGTAGTTGGCGTTTAGTACAATGTTGTTTAGTGGACCAGGCGTCAAGGAAATCGATGATTTCGGCGAGACGAGTAGGATCAATGCAAAGTTCCTGGGAGACAGTGTCGAGTTCGATGCCAAGAAGCACAAGGTTCGTTGTAGGAGAAACTGTTTAAAGGGCATTGGTAGCAAATCCAAGGTCAGCACAGGTTATGAAGCATAACATTAAGACTCGAAGAGCAAGAGGCCCTTAGGGCGGAAGGGCCACATGCCCGAAACATGGCGGGTAGTTCCAAAGGGGTTCCATGGAGCGCCATCGTGTATCGCGAACCGTTAACAAATTTAAGAAATAGCGCCGGCGAACTCCAGAGACCAAACGGAAGTAACATGTCAAAGAAATAACCAGTACGCGTAGAACCGTCAGACAAAACGAGGGGCCAAATGCACTCCAAAATCTTCCAGTCACCAGGGTCTGCAAGTACAAGGTGGAGGGAGTGATCGAGTTTGCTTATTAGAGCATTGGGACCGAACGATTTAAGGTAAGAAATAGGCTGGTCGATTGAGTCGTAGGAGCAAGTATATAATTCCTTGGAGAATGCGTCATTAACAGACTGGCTAGCGGGCCACGAAAGATCCTTTATGATACGCCATTTGGGAGGCTGCGAGTGCTTTTTCGGAATAGCACCCATCGGAGACCAAACAGAATTCGAAAACGTAGGTGGAAGGAAAGGCCCGGCCTTTCTGTTCAGGGACAGGTCGCGTTCCAGTTCCTGTGCGACGGGCGCACGGTTAGCGGTTTCGGAACGGTGATTTGAGGAAATCAAGGGGCACGATCATGATTAAAACCAATACGAACGCCAAAATTAATGTCTTGTTATAATTCGTTTACAAAATCACGGTCCGGGTAGGTACGTAAAGGGTCACGCCAAACGTCAATTGGAAACAGAGAGCGAACTTCCGGTAGATAGACAATAGGCCGCGGAGTGGTCCCCCTGACAAGACTTGCAAACATGGGCGCATTTGCGTTTCTCTGAAAGAGGTTGCATTCTTCTTACTCTGAAGTGGAAGGATCTGGTGATGATGAGCCAGAGCTTTCAGTTGTTTCCTGAACATCTTAGTCGTCGTGATCGGCGAATTTTTTGGCTTGCCCCTAGCAAGGCTTACTAGACGATAATGAAAAGCTTACGAAACGCTAACAAATACAACGCTAAACGGCGAGATAACAAAAAAAACGTGTGTTCATAATCCGAGACATAATCTTATATGGTGAATGACTCGGTATTATTATCACTATTTAACTATAGTTAAATATTACTAAATGTACAGGGTGCAAGAATGTCACGATACAATGAGTTGGTTGGTTTATCCTTTTATTTATGCCTTAAGCAGATCTTTACGTGCCGTTGATCAGATGAACATACCCAATCCTAGGTCCGTAGTCCGATATAAACTATTTTTTACGGAACCTCTTAAATTTCGTACATTGCCGAAAGAGGAACAAGTTGAAATTAGTGAAAAGGTCGCTGTAAAAAGATTTGGAAACGAGCGCAAATGAGTGCCAGCCTTTCGTAAGAGCACAGTCACACTGTTTCATCCCTTTGCTTAAGGGCTAGCACTTGAGACTTTATCTTTCGTATATTTTCATTTCGTGGTGACCAATTCACCTTTAAATCATTTATTGTTTCGTCCTGGGCCGGGTTGTTCGAAGTTGGGTTAAGATAACCCCGGGGTTAGTGCAAAATTTGAACTCAGCCATGAGACCTTAAAAAGCAAATTCAGTTCCATTCTCTTTGCCTACAATTTGATGACTGGATAATCTAAAGAGAATAGAGAAAATTATCGCAAGAGAGTACTTTTGATGAAAAGAAGAAGAAACCCAGGTTAAAATAAATTTAACCCCGGGTTAGCGCTAACCAGCGTTCGATTCACTGGGCCCTGTTTGTTTGTTGTTTGTTTTTTGCCCTTCCAACTAAGGTGTAGATCCCCGGCTTATCTGTTTTGCACAACAGGTCCACCAACAGTACCTAAATTAAGTGCCTTTCGTCTTGATACGGGACCAAACGGCAGTGCAAATTTCAGTTGCAAGGCAAACCAGCTTAACTTTCAACAAATGGCTTCTTACAAGTGGAAATGGATGTTCATAAACGAAACAGAAGTAATGGATGTATATGGGAAGTATAAAATACTTAGCACGTTCTCAAGTCCCAATTCTTGTCAGCAAACGATGGGTGCGGTTTATCTTCGCGTTGAAAATTTAACCACGGAAGATCATGGAACATACAAGTGTGTGCTCTTTGAGAATGAAGTGGAAATTGCTGCAGAGGACGTCCCATTCTATGAATATGGTATGTTGCGTGTTCTAAACTGTACTTACCTTGTAAGCTTTGATGAGAAGTATAATACCTTGATAATTAGAGCTACATATTCACTAACCTTAATTTATCCGAGGCTGCAGGGAGCTCCAATAAATACGGTCACACCATGAGGCACAAGTACTACTACCACCACCACCAAGCCATGTAGCTTGTTCACTGTCCCCTATTTTTCCCTAAGACCGTCGAGATCGAAAACTTTGAGTTACAGGCGGCCATCTCTTAAATGAGTGTCAAATCTACTTAGGGGTCAGGGAACGACTTGAGAGGAAGCGAGAAAAATAGCGCTCCCCTCCCACTCGAGCTTTAATCCCCGACGCCTGCCCCCTCAATACATTTGGAAATCAAGATGACCGCCATTAACGGTAAGACGCGCTATATCTGGACGATCTCACGGAGAAATGGGGGACTGTGAACAGTCTACAAGCCATGCTACTAAAATTGCCGCAGAGACCTGAAGAGACCTTAGTACGTTACTTACTAAAATCAATGAGGAGTGACAAAAATGGTGATGTCAACAATCACATATGCATTGCTGAACATCACTCACAGATGAAACATAGAATCGGCTGGGATTCTGCGATATGTATGACGTATTCTACAGACTTCTAATATATTAGCCAGGGCTAAAAGCGAAGCCTCCTTTTGTATACTCAATCAAATTTGAACTAGCAAGCTCTAAACTATTTTTTAAAAAAATTCAAATCCCTACTGAACTTTAGGAGCCTTCGGTATCACTTTACCTTTCGTGGAAGGGGTTAAATGATTAATTAAAATAACCCCCAAACACACCTGGAAAGAAAAAAAAAATACTCCCAGCATGCTGAAAGGTGCATATTTACAGCAAGAAAAAAAAAAACAACAAACAAACACACACACACTAAGCATCACAGCAATCACAGTAGTACAATCCGTTGAGTCGAGATGTTCTATATAACGAACAAATTTCCCCAGTCTCTTGGCACGTCGTTTAATCGAGGTTCCACTGTACTACGTGCCATACGGACTGTGCGATAATACTTTATTCATAGCCTTGCCCCTAGAACGTCCACCAGCACGCCCCGTACGAAGCTGATGGAGTCCTGTTAAACACGAATTCTAAGATATTTTTTCAGGAAAATGGCTGGTGTTTAAACTCTAAAAAACCCAACTTAAACGCATTTCAGCGCATTTAAAGAACAGATGCCCAACTAAGCCGATACGGTATGAACTCGTCTGCGAATTGTGAACATGTGTTTTGTTACCTCGATTTTTGCTGATATCTTAAGGCTAATGTTCGCTTGGAATAATCGCTTCCATTTTCTCTTGAAATACATCGCAAAAAGCACTTATAGAGTTCTAACATGGCCGCTAAAAACACAGACCGATAGAAATTCTCCTTTCTAGGCTTAACTACAGAATATCCTGCCACTTTAAAGCAACCCCTAAATATAGGTGGATACGAGGATATGCAGATACTCTGCCACCACGTATCTGCGTATCCACTTAGAAAAAATCCTTTAGATAATAGTTACTGCGTACCCGCTATCCACCTCGTCATACACTTAAAACAGCTTATAAAGAACACAGTATGTCTATTTGACGTTCTTAAAGCCACTGAAGTTAAAAAAAAAAAGCGTATAAAAGGGATAACCGCGTATCCACGTATTTATCTCTTTCAGGGATACAGCTTCCAAGGGGCAGGGTATTCTGCAATTACTCGTAATGACCAAAGAAACTCAATTCAAATTCAAAGTGGCTAGACAGACTGCAAATTATAGTAGTTGCTAAAAAAAAATATCTACGTGTCCAACTGTTCATCAGTAGGATGCCTAATATGTGTGCAATTCCACAATTGGTTTCGGCTCCATTAAATACCATACAAATTGCAGAACATTTTAGGAGGAGCCACCCACCGTATGAGCACAGTCGCGGACAACACATATAAGTGGGGAAAATAACGCAAAGCAAAGCTAAGACGTTATTAAACGAACTAAAAGTACACGCAACTGAAATAAATAAATCATGCACGCGCCCAAAATTGAATTGCGCGCGCACATACCAATATACAACTGAAACAAAAATCCAAGTAATAAATAAGCAATGTAAAGATACGATGGTGCAATTTAAGCCTGGATTACTGATCTCATCTCCCGCAGGGCTGCACCATACTTCTCGACGATAAGACCATGGCGATTGACGAATTTATTAAATGAGTTCTAAAGTCGATTGGTTTCAAAGCCTTGTTGTCTGAGACGTAATGAAAGCCCGCGAATTCTATTTATGAAGTCAACTTTGGACGTGCAAATTCTAGCATATCTCACCAGTTGAGATATGTAAACACCGTAAGCTGGATTGGCGGGAATGTTGCTGTCCATATGAGGAAAGTTGACAATCCGTAATGCAAAGTTATCTCTCTTATCGTAGATGCTGATACGGAAAGGTGTGGTTACGTTGCCAGTCTTGATATTTGTGTCGAGATAACACACTTCAGTAAATTATGTGGATGTGTCCGTGAGTTCCAATTCCGACCGGTAAATCGGGCTGATGCAATTTCCAAAGTTCACATTGTTGATACTGAATAAGTCGTCGATATATCGAAAGGTGTTGCTGAACTGGATGGCTTTTGTAATGTCTTGTTTCATTGTTTTGACCATAAAATCGTACTCAAAGCTATGAAGGAAGAGATCAGCCAACAAATGTGCACTGTTGGTGCCCATGGGTATACCAATAACCCGCCGGAAAACCGAGCTTCTAAAACGAACGTAGATGTTATCGATAAGAAAGTCAATGGCGAGACCAAGCTCTCGACATACACCTTGTGGGGTGACCATATGAGAGATTAAATGGACAGGCGGGTTACCCCAACTAAGCGCGTTACCTCACCTACCTGGAGTCCCTCACCTCCATGTAAACAGGCCCTAAATTGACGTGGATAACAGAGAAAGAGGTAGAGCGAGAGATAAAAAAAAAAACTACAAAGGAGACTAATTATGTTGGAATAAAAGAATGAAAATTTTATAACGGCGGTGAGAAAATGAGAAATGCTACCGGCCACCAAGGTGCAAATCAGCAGCATTGAAAAAAGGTGAGCAGAAAACGCATATAACATTTCCTCTATAAAACGTGTAACAATGAGGTTTCTGGAAGTTTCACATTCTAGTCGTGCAAAACAACGGGAAAGAAATATACAAAAAAAAAAAGTTTGCTGCACGTTCAAAGTTGTTTTTTTGCTAATCAGACATACTGATTTTTTTGGCCCTGTTCGTTGTCGTCGCCGCCTAGCATTACACGATTTTATATTTTGTTTGAGTAAAATATAAATTTACGAGAGCTTCGCTTTTAGCCCTAGCTAAATCTACGTACGAAACTCGTCTCTTTTTTTCTTTGTTTTTTTTGTATCTCGCTCTTACCCTTTCTCTGTTAACCATGTCTCAGTGTAATAACATTAACATTAAGATTTAGTCAAATAAAAAGATAGACACGGCTTTGCCGTTGTCTTTTCTTTCTGGGTGGCCATGCCATTTACCGCCAAAATGCCGCGGGTACTGTAAATGCGAATTTCACCCCGGCTTACTTCAAGGGGTGGTCGTACGTACGTACGAACGATTTTGTTCAGAACCAACATTTCTTGGATACATAGATAACCAAATTTTCTTACCCATGGTGCTCCGCTATTAATGACGACGTTATAATCTTAACTTGCGGCATTATAACATACTTAATTGTTTACATTTATGAATTCGGAATACTGCGAAAATCTGATGGCTGCACACAGGGCTAACTGGAGGCTTTTCAAACGGTTGAAAAGATTTTTGCTCCATTTTGATGTGGTGATTTACATCTGTATGGAAAAAAACACAGCTTTAGATAACTGGAAATAGTTGGAAGAGCGTTATTATTTAAACGTGTGAAAAGGTGCCCATTCTCACCCCTTAAAACGCACAAATGCAATTAACAGAGCTCCAGCACAGGGCTTCCAACAATGGCTTCGCCAGATTCGGAAGGAAGGGCACGTCACACTGTTACAAATACAGGTATTTTAGAAGGATTTCCACTGACAGCCTCGCTTTCGTGTAGGCCATTTTAGGGCCTGCGCAGTATTGTTGTCAAGTGGTGAATTTGGATTGGCTCCATTTCCAAAATAAAGTTTCATGCTTTTATCATAAAAGTGAACAATTTGCACTATTTTTGGTCGCAAACACCTGGACTAATTTGGTACAGCGGAAAGCCCGGCTTGGGTTCAATCTTGATAAATGCTACAAGTGTAGCTGCTGTTTTAGAACTGATCTAAAAGGAAAAGCCACATTTGGTAAACTACACAGGTGAGAGTTTATTGAATTCACTCCGGGTAGGACAGAGATGTAAAAGGCCTGTTGCAAAACACAGTGCAAAACCACAGCTACCCCGCTAAAAAAACCACCTTTTTCCCTTCTCTTCAATTTCCAACGCATTCCACCCAGACTCATCTGATCCTTTCTCCTTACGACCCTAGTGAGGATTGCTCTCAATGCGGTCGTTTCAGTAAAACTGCTTGAAGTCACTTTAGCAGATATTGAGCTCCTTTAAAATGGTTTACTTTCAGTAAGCTCCAACGTTCCACCACGTCCCGAAATTGTAAAAAATGAGACCTTTGCCTGCGGCCGTAAGATAGAAGTGGAGTGGAAACCGATAGAAGGAAGTGGAGTAACTGGATATGAACTCATTATATCATCACTAAAGGATGGATCCGACGAAAAAAAGTTTAACCTGTCAAGCAAAGATCATTCAAAGAAGCTTGATGTCCAAAGTAGCAATCTTTACGAAATACAAATCAGAGCGAAAAACTCGTTGGGCCATAGTTTTTGGACAAAACGTCAACTGGAAACGAAAGCAGGTACTAATTAAATTGTAAGAAAAAATTCATATGTTATCTTATTATGTGG